ATATTCCTGCTTCTTGGCAGGCGGTTGGACTGGATGGCCCATGAGGTCTCTTCCAACTCTTTGATTCTATGAAAAGCCCAATATTTTTTGATGCCACTTAGCTAAACTTACAGACCTGTCCTTGCACTCTGCTGGAAAATCCCTGTCAATAAATACCACGACCAGAAACTGCCCATTTTGTAGGATGCCTACTAAACATATCAAATTATGGCCTATTATAACTAATTATAAAAACAATAACATTTTAAAATAATAAAAATGATTTAAAAAACCATATGCCCATTCTGCCTTTTATTCTCATTAAACTTTTAAGAAAATAGCTTGAAAGGAAAGCTATTTTCTGCTTTCTAAGATAGAATCCATGTTGTGCTGTTTTCCAGAGAGGCAAAACCCAGGAAAGAACCCCTTTCTTTGCAGAAAGGAGGCCTATCTTTCTTCAAACAGGGTGTCACGTTTCCTTTTACTACTAATGCACACCATATGCACGAGGCTATGCCTGATAGGAAATGCCACATGTCAGGATGTTTGCTAAGAAAAGCAGATATGAAAACAATGCCCATCTGAAAACAGGCCTTCTTTCTGCAAAAACAGGATGTCGCATTCCTTTTACTACTAATGCACAGCAAATACACAAGGCTATGTCTGATAGGAAATGCCACATGTCGTGATGTTTTATAGTAAACACATGTTGCATCTAACTGAAATATTACCACACCAGAAAAGGGCTGTGTTTAGGGCCCCAGCCAATGAGCATTCTCAGTTTCAAAATTGGGGAGAGTCAGCCCAAAGAATGTGCCCACCCATCTCCTCTACTCATGCATAAAACCCCCCTGAAATGTAGGTTCGTTCCTTTGGTCATGCTGCATTTCTGGCTGAATTGGTAAGTCCCCCCCCCCCCACCACCTTCTCTCTCTCTCTCTCTCTCTCTCTCTCTCTGTATGTCTGTATGAATGTGTGTGTGTATTAAGATTTTAATTATTAGAGAAAATAGTGTAAAGTTGCTAGTTTTAGTTTATTGAATTTTTTAAATGTCTCTAGGCCAGGGGTCCTCAAACTTTTTTTTTAATTTTTATTAATTTTATTATTACAACAAGAAGGAACAGTAAAAGACAGTACAAAAATATTCAACAGAGATATAGACATCCCCGACCACCCCAATACAGACTGACTGACTACCCGACATTTACAAACTAACGTAAAACATAGACTACAAATATATTAAAAAAGACAGAGAGCCTACAACGGCAGTAGACCTCCCTCTCTCTATGCTACGGTATTTCAGTACCAATTTCAGCTCTTCTAAACTTATACTATTCTTATATATTGTCTTCCTCCTGTAGTGCCCTAACTTATTATACAACAATTTCTTACTTGCTAATACACAAATATTTGTTCGTACGTACAAAAATAGATCTATACATTTTCAATTTATTTAAAATTTCTATATTCTTACTTCTCAAATCTCTTAAGGAGTCTATTTCTTATTCTTCATCACATTCCCTTTATTATTTGTGTTGAACTTATTTTCATATTTAAGTCTTTCTATTTGTCTTGGTCTCCCACCTGGATACTGTGTCTCAATTTTATAAGTAGATGTTAAACCAGTGATGGGCAACCTTTTCAGCTTGGTGTGTCAAAATCCGCCAAAAAAAGAGCATAATTCAGATGGGGTGCCACTTTGAGAAAAAGCCCCATAATTTTGTAATATTTATAGTTTAAATAACAAAAATGCATAATGGGAGGATAAATTCTTTAACTAAGCTGCCTATTAGTGACTTTTTTGTTGCTGAATTTCATTGACTAAATGTTCAATTGAAGGTTTGTATTTTGTACACTTCAAGCCCAAGCAAGTGCTACTAACATCATCTGTCAATCTGTTTCTTTGATGGAACCTTTGGCCCTCCAGCTGTGGTGGACTTCAACTCCCACAATTCCTTGAGGCTCGGCATTTGCCCCATAAGCCTTTGGGGCGAATGCCGAGCCTCAAGGAATTGTGGGAGTTGAAGTCCACCACAGCTGGAGGGCCAAAGGTTCCCTACCCCTGCGTCAATCTGTTTCTTTGATGGTTTTGATATTATTTAACACTGAGAATAAGGTCTCACAAAAGTACGTAGAGGGAAAAATTGTGAGTAAAGCCATGTCAGACTACACAGAGAAGCCCTTGAAATCCACAAGCATGTGGACAATTTCAACAGAAAGGAGGAAACCATGAAAATGAACAAAATCTGGCTACCAATATTTTAAAAACTCTAAAATTAGGACAGTAAAGAAAGAGCAACACTCAGAAAACAGAGGGATTCCAGACAAGAATCAGTCAGGGCCAGCTAACACCTTCCAACAAAGGATTCCCCTGAGCAGGAAGGAGCCAGATTTTGAAGCTGCAAGGCCATTTAGTGCTAATCAAAGTGGCCAATTGCAACATTCACACTTGCCTACCAGTATTAAAAAACTCTAAAATCAGGACAGTAAAGAAATAGCAACACTCAGGAAACAGAGGAATTCCAGACAAGAATCAGTCAGACCCAGCTAACACCTCCTAACAAAGGATTCCCCTGAGCAGGAATGAGCCAGACTTTGAAGCTGCAAGGCAATTCAATGCTAATCAAGCTGGCCAATGGCAACATTCACACTTGCCTCCAACAGACAAGAGTTCTTGCTCTCACCCTGGACCTTCCACAGCCAGGCTTTGAATCTGCAAGGCCATTCAATGCTAATCAAGCTGGACAATGGCAACATTCACAATTTCCTCCAACAGACAAGGGTTCTTTCTCCCACCCTGGACGTTATTTCACAGGCATATAAACCCCACTTGCCTAGTTTCCAACAAACTTCAGAGGATGCCTGCCATAAGATATGAGAGAAACGTCAGGAGAGAATGCTCCTGGAACAGAGAGGTTTAGCTGAGGAGAAAAAAAGACCCCAGCAACCAAGCGCGCGCCTGCCTCCCTCGGCCAAACGCGGCCACCAGATCAAAGGCGCCGCCGGGTGATTGGCAGCCGAGGGGCGGGGCTGAAGGATTCTTTCCCCCGAGATGCGCTCCTGCCTTAAAGAGACAGCACACTGTTTGTCTCCAAACCTTGGCCAGTAATAAGCGGGCTGCCGTTATTAAATGGACGAACAATTTGTCCGTCTCTTTGTCTCACGTCCCGCCTGTTAGACCTAGTAGATAGCATTCTGGTTTAAAGGGGATATTTTTCTTTATTATTTTTTGGCACATCTCGTGGATTAGTTTCCAAAACTTATTTACCCTCACACAGGACCACCACATATGTCGATAAGTCCCTTTCTCTTCTCCGCACTTCCAGCATGTGTAACACATATTTTTGGAGAATTTTGCTATCTTGGCTGGTGTCAAGTACCACTGATGCGTCATTTTCACCCAATGTTCTTTAATATAATAGGAATAGGAATAGTTTGTTTTTCTATTCCATATTAAGCTCCACTCATCTAAGGAGATGGATCGCCCTATTAGTCTTGCCCAATTAATCATGTATTCTTTGATCCGTTCTTCCTCCGTGGACCATTCTAGCAGTAGCTTGTATGCTTTTGTGATATATTTTCTAGGGCAGTCCAGGAGCCTATCCCAAGCTGTTGGGTTTTCCATTAATCCTAATTGGCTGTCTTTCCTGAAGTATTCTTTCAGCTGCCAGTGCTGTAGCCAAGTAATGCTATTATATTGCCCTTTTAGTTCTTCCTGTGACTTAATCCTAATTTCCTTTCTTTCCCTATGCAGCAGATCTTTATATGTTGGCCATGAGCCCCATCCCAGCTCCCTCCTTTGATGAGCTTCAAGGGGGGAGACCCAGAGTGGCGTTTTGGGGTATATCCTATCTTTAGGATATACCCCAAGGGGTCCTCAAACTTTTTAAACAGAGGGCCGGGTCACAGTCCCTCAAACTGTTGGAGGGCCGGATTATAATTTGAAAAATCTATATAAATAAAAATGTAATGTTCGTTTGTGGGATTAACATAACTCAACTGTCTAAGCCAGTGTTTCTCAACCTGGGGGTCGGGACCCCTGAGGGGGTTGCGAAGGGGTGCCAGAGGGGTCACCAAAGACCATCAGAAAACAGTATTTTCTGATGGTAATGGGGATTCCATGTGGGAAGTTTGAGCCAATTCTATAGTTGGTGGAGTTCAGAATGTTCTTTGATTGTAATGAACTATAAATCCCAGCAACTACAACTCCCAAAATGTCAAGGTCTATTTTCCCCAGACTACACCAGTGTTCACATTTGGGCATATTGAGTATTTGTGCCAAGTTTGGTCCAGATCCACCATTGCATGAGTCCACAGTGCTCTCTGGATATAGGTGAACTACAACTCCCAAACTCAAGGTCAATGCCCATCAAACCCTTCCAGTGTTTTCCATTGGTCATGGGAGCCAAGTTTGGTTCAAATCCATCGCTGGTGGAGTTCAGAATGCTCTCTGATTATAGGTGAACTATAAATCCCAGCAACTACAACTCCCAAATTACAAAATCAATCCTCCCCCAACCCCACTAGCATTCACATTTAGGTGTATTGGGTATTTGTGCCCAGTTTGGTCCAGTGAATGAAAATGCATCCTGCATATCTGATATTTACATTATGATTTATAACAGTAGTAAAATGACTGTTATGAAGTAGCAACGAAAACAATGTTATGGTTGGGGGTCACCACAACATGAGGGACTGTATTAAGGGGTCACGGCATTAGGAAGGTTGAGAACCACTGCACTGGACGAATTAACACCAAATTTGGACACAAGACATCTATCAGGCCAATGAGTGACCATCACTCATAAAAACACTGAAAAACACAGGGAGACTTAAAAAGCAACCCCCCCAAATACATTACAATGCATGCGCAAAACCACACACACACACATATATACACACACACAACACACACATCTATGTATATACACACACAAAACACATACACAGAAAGGGGGAAAGAAGGAAGGAAAGAGAGAAGGAGGGAGAGAAGGAGGCAAAGAAGGAGGGAAGGAGAGAAAGAAGGAAAGAAGGGTAGAGAAGGAAGGAGAGAAAGAGAAAGAAAGAGGGAAAGAAGAGGGAAGAGAGAAAGAAGGGTAGAGAAGGAGAGAAACAAAGAGGGAAAGAAGGGAAGAAGGAGGGAAGGAAAAAAGAAGGGTAGAGAATGAAGGAAGGAGAGAAGGAGGGAGAGAAAGAGAGAAAGAAAGAGGGAAAGAAGAAGGAAGAGAAGGAGGGAAGGAGAGAAAGAAGGTTAAACAGTGCAATTAATGTGACGATTACAGGAGTTGGAAAATTGGACGACGAATTGGATCATGATTCTAGTTATGAGATGCATTGTGTTGACTATTGTTGTGTTAATATTGTATATTATGCCTTTGTGATTTTAAATTGTATATTGTTGATTTTATCCTTGTTGTAAACCGCGTTGAGTCGCCGGTCAGGCTGAGAAACTGCAGTATACAAGTAAAGTAATAAATAAATAATAAGGAAAGAAAGAAGGGTAGAGAAGGAAGGAAGGAGAGAAGGAGGGAAAGAAAGAGAGAAAGAAAGGGAAAGAAGAAGGGGAAGGAGGAAGGAGAAAGAAGGAGAGAAGGATAAAGAAAGAAAGAAGAAGGAAAGAGAGAGAAAGAAAGAAAGAAAAAAGAAGGTAGAGAAGAAGGAAGGAGAGAAGGAGGAGAGAAAGAGGGAAAGAAGGGGGAGGAGAAAAGGAAAGAAAGGAAGAGAGAAGGAAATAAAAAAGTGAAAGAGGGAAGAAGAGAAGGAACGAAAAAGAGAAAGAGGGAGGGAAGGAAGGAAAGAGACAAGGAAGGATGGAACCAAAGAGAGAACATCAGGAGAGAATGCTTCTGGAACACAGCCATACAGCCCAAAATATATATAACCCAGATGATGTGTGTGTGTGTGTGTGTGTGTGTGTGTGTGTGTGGAGGGGGTTCTTGCCCAGCAGCTGTCCTGCCTTATCTTTTAAAAAAGGGGGCTGAAACTGATTCTATTTAACAATTACATTATTTAAGAAGTTATAAGGTAATTCTGTGTATTTTACTTACATTGTATAGGTATGAGTTATAAATAAATTTAAATAATTTAATAACTGTATCACTATTCCATTAAACATGTGTTCCACTTTTACTAGTTACTACTTAACAAAAAAGCCAGAAAAAGGCCATGAAATAACACTAATTAGCAAATACACATGGAAAAAGTGTGTATACTAACGGCTAATTATCTGTATTGTCGAAGGCTTTCATGGCTGGAATCACTAGGTTCTTGTGGGTTTTTTCGGGCTATAGGGCCATGTTCTAGAGGCATTTCTCCTGACGTTTCGCCTGCATCTATGGCAAGCATCCTCAGAGGTAGTGAGGTCTGTTGGAATTAGGACAATGGGTTTATATATCTGTGGAATGGCTGGGGTGGGGCAAAGAGCTCTTCCCTGCTGGAGCTAGGTGTGAATGTTTCAACTGACCACCTTCATTAGCATTTGAAGGCCTGGCTGAGCCTGGGAAAATCTTTTGTTGAGAGGTGTTAAGATGTGCCTGGTTGTTTCCTCTCTGCTGTTTTGCTGTTGTAATTTTAGAGTTTTTTAATACTGGTAGCCAGATTTTGTTCCTTTTCATGGTCTCTTCCTTTCTGTTGAAATTGTCCACATGCTTGTGGATTTCAATGGCTTCTCTGTGTAGTCTGACATGGTGGTTGTTAGAGTGGTCCAGCATTTCTGTGTTCTCAAATAATATGCTGTGTCCAGGTTGGTTCATCAGGTGCTCTGCTATGGCTGCCTTCTCTGGCTGAAGTAGTCTGCAGTGCCTGTCATGTTCCTTGATTCGTGTTTGGGCAATGCTGCGTTTGGTGGTCCCTATGTAGCCTTGTCCACAGCTGCATGGTATACAGCAACATGGAAGAGATAATGAAAATGAACAAAATCTGGCTACCAGTATTAAAAAACTCTAAAATTACAACAGCAAAACAGCAGAGAGGAAACAACCAGGCACATCTTAACACCTCTCAACAAAAGATTTTCCCAGGCTCAGCCAGGCCTTCAAATGCTAATGAAGGTGGTCAGTTGAAACATTCACACCTAGCTCTAGCAGAGAACTTGCCCCACCCCAGCCATTCCACAGATATATAAACCCATTGTCCTATTCCAACAGACCTCACTACCTCTGAGGATGCTTGCCATAGATGCAGGCGAAACGTCAGGAGAAATGCCTCTAGAACATGGCCCTATAGCCCGAAAAAAACCCACAAGAACCTAGGCTAATTATCTGTTATTTGTTATCTCTTAACAAAGAGGTCAGAAAAGCATTGAATATGCATTGAGGGATGGGGTAATTGACAACTTTCTGAAAGCTGGGGAGTATTCTAAGTTTAACGAATTACAATAGCTTGTAACCTTCAGGCATTCAAGGATTAGCGGAGCTTAGAGCAGAGGAGCTTTTCTAAGTGATAGAATCATAGAATCAAAGAGTTGGAAGAGACCTCATGGGCCATCCAGTCCAACCCCCAGCCAAGAAGTAGGAATATTGCATTCAAATCACCCCTGACATATGGCCATCCAGCCTCTGCTTAAAAGCTTCCAAAGAAGGAGCCTCCACCACACTCCGGGGCAGAGAGTTCCACTGCTGAACGGCTCTCACAGTCAGGAAGTTCTTCCTCATGTTCAGATGGAATCTCCTCTCTTGTATTTTGAAGCCATTGTTCCGCGTCCTAGTCTCCAAGGAAGCAGAAAACAAGCTTGCTCCCTCCTCCCTGTGGCCTCCTCTCACATATTTATACACCTTAAATTATAAAAATATACCATAATTTCATTAGATGTTATCTTCGTTTTATGATCCATTACAGCATAAATGTGTTCCAGGAACAAAATGAGAAATAAGATTCTGTTATAATGGTTTTAATTAATTAAATGTACATAAAATATATTATATTATTATTGTGGAGCAATATTAACATCATATTTCAGTAATGTGTACTATGCTTGAGCTATACTATAATATTCAAGTCTTGTATTATATTTAATATATAACATAAATTAAAATTTATTAACAATATTATATGTATATACATTATATTATAATATATTATATCCAATTAATTGTATTTTACGCTGTATATTATGTTAAATTCTATATTATATTCACACGTTGTATTATATTTAATATATAATATATAATTAATATTATTATGGTGTATTACATTATAATATTATTATCAATATTATGTGTATATACAATATATTGAATATTACTATGCATATTATGTTAAATTCTATATTATATTCACAACTTGTATTATATTTAATATATAACATATAATTAATATTATGTTGTATTACATTATAATATTATTATCAATATTATATGTATATACATTATATTATAATATATTATAGCCAATAAATTATATTTTACTCTGCATATTATGTTAAACTCTGTATTATATTTACACCTTGTATTGTATTTAATATATAATATATAATTAATATAATATATAATATATAATTAATATATAACATATAATTAATATTATTATGATGTATATAACAATAATAAAAGGAAATGTGTCCCAACATGTTTGTGATCTCTGTTTTTGATATTTTATCATGATTCAAAACATTTGTTATACACGGTTTGTTTGCAGCAGATACATATTATAAATAAATAAACAAATAAATAAATAAGAAGAAATTATTATTGTTAATAAAATTTGTTATAACAACTTGGTCCTCTTTTTCAATTGTTTATTATTATATAATGAAAATAAGGCTATACTAGGACTTCTTTCTATTTTAATGCGCTTTATATCTTTCTGTTTCTTTAAATACTTACCCCAAAATTTATTTACATATTTACATTTGCTGCCACATATGTATATATATGTACCTGATTCTTGACATCCTTTCCACCAATTTTTGAATAGATTTATTTATATTTGCTATTCTTACTGGTGTTAGGTACCATTTACATATTAACTTGTAATAATTTTCTGTAGCCCTTATTTATAAGTTTTTAGTTGTCTTTGTCTACATATTTGTTATCATTCTGTTTCATTTATTTTTATCCCTAAATCTTCTTCCCAGGTCTCCTTGAGAATGTTATTTTTGTTTTTCCTTCCTTTATTTCATTTATTATCTTATATCCTTTACTTGTTGTTCCATTCAAATTTTCAACCACTCCCACAACCAAACCGTTTTGTATTATTAGTTCAAATTGTTTAAGCTTACATCCGTTTTTGTTATTTTTCATAATTTTAAACCGTCTTTCTAAGTGTATATAATGGAACCATGTCAATTTTAATTCTCTAATTTCATCCATAATCATTTCCTTTCTCATTCTAACCTTTATCCAAGTGCAACCTGTTTTAACCAGCATCTCCTTCCCCATCTCGCCCATCCTAGATACAACACATCCATTCCTTCAGAAATGAGTCAATACAACGGCCACGTATGCGCCACGGCGAATATTCAGCCCCCACCATATGTTGATCCAAATAACGCGCTACAGCATGTTTTAGAAGATGATGAAATTTTAGCTGCGGGGGATCCGGATCCACAACTGATAGGTTTGTCCTTATTATTATTAAACTTTATTTGTACCCCGCTAGCATCTCCCGAAGGACTCGATGCGGCTTACAAAGGCCAAGGCCTCAACACAACAGCAGTAAACAACAACAATACAAAAGAAAGCAAATTAAAAAACATAAGCAATAACAAAACATTACACTATTACACAATAAAAACCATGGCCGGGCCAATGATGGGTACAGGTTAAAAAGTGCTGGGTGTGACAGGAGGTGTATTGGAATTCTGGGCAAGTGCAATGTGCAGAGAGTCTTAAACTCTAGTAAAGTGCTTCTGGGACAAAGCGCTGGGTTATCCTATTCTGGAAAGGCGCGTCGGAATAGCCAGGTCTTCAAGTTCTTCCTAAAGACTGCCAACGTGGGTGCTAGTCTAATGTCTTTGGGGAGCTCATTCCAAAGTCGGGGGGCAACCACAGAAAAGGCCCTGTCCCCCGTCCCCACCAAGCGCGCCTGCGACGCAGGTGGGATCGCAAGCAGGGCCTCTCCAGATGACCGAAGGGAGCGTGTGGGTACATAAACGGAGATGCGGTCACAGAGGTAGGCAGGTCCCAAACCGTTTAGGGCTTTGTAGGTAAGCACCTGCACCTTGAATTGGGTTCGGTAGGTAAACGGCAGCCAATGGAGCTCCTTAAACAGGAGAGTTGACCTCTCTCTGTAAGGAGCACCAGTTAACATCCTGGCCACCGCCCGTTGAACCAGTTGGAATTTCCGAGCCGTTTTCAAGGGCAGCCCCACGTAGAGCGCATTACAGTATACCCTTATACCCTAAAAGAATATATATAATAATGATAATAATAAAATGATTGCACAATGAGTGTGTCTGTGTGTTTTTCTGAAATACTTGCCTGTTTTTTCAGAAGAAGAAGTGTTTTCTGTCGATTTCGTGGATGCTGCTGCTGCCGCTGCTGCTGCCCCTGCCCCAAAGACCTCTACCGATGATTCTATAAATACAGGTATTGCTGCTCCCCCCCCCCCCCCCCGGATTATAAAGTGACAAATGTGTATCAAAAAACAACATAAAATACTAATTAAAATACAACATAAAATACTAAATAAGATTTAATCAAAGCAATAAACAGTCTCAACCACATGAAATAATAAACTTACAGAAAACAATAGAAAATCCCACTAAAATAAATAAGATAACCATTCATAAGGAAGTATTTAGGAAAAGCTAATCATGTGGTTGCATTTGTATTTTCTAGATAAGCAATCCAATAACCATGGCACATCCAATCCGTCAACTTCAAAAAATCAAGGTAATGGTATGTTTGTCTCACCTACAGAATGTCTTGCTGCACATATGAGAATTAGTTATTCATTAGGGTTGGGCGGTTTCGTTCGTTAATTTTGTAAATCGTTATTAATTCGTATTTAAATTAGCTTACGATCCGATATTGAGCCATGCAGGGGTAATTAAAAATCGAAATGAATTTTTCCAATTTATTTCGTAATTGATTCGTAATTGATTCGTAATTATTTCTGTATGTCTAGTGCAAGTCTTAGGGTTGTTGTTTGTTTTATCAGTGATAAAAAATAAATTATCACACCAACAGTCAACAACAGAGGGAGAGGGAAGCTTCAGAAGTTCCCCCTGTCCCATTTGGAGGGTTTTTTAGCATATTGCGCAAACGCGTCCGCCATTAACGAATTGATTCGTAATTGTTTCATAATTAATTCGTAATTGATTAGCAATTTTACGAAATTTCGTATATTTCGAACTTTTTAAAAGAAAAATTTCGGAATTCTTTTAAAAAACGAAACGCAAAACCCCCCTGAAAACGAAACGAGTTTAGACACAATTTTTTCCGTTGTTACCCAGCCCTATTATTCATGTATTGATAATTCATTACTTTTAGGAAAAGGCTTGAAACGTAGCAGACCAGAAACTCAGAAACCATCTAAACCGCGTAAGAGGCAGAAAGACACCGACGTCAGAGATACCCATGGCCAGCCCCCCCTCAAAAAATTTACCTCCTTGGATGATTGTTATGCGGAACTTATGAGATTGGCTGGTGAAGTGATCCATAATCATAAACAGATTATAGCTTGTAAGGAGAGAAACGAGCAAATCAAAAAATGTGATGTTCCAAATGTTTATTCGGAAATTAAAGCAAGAAAAAAATATATGATGCTTAGAAAGTCAGCTTACTATCAGATGCGTGGGAGAATGCACAGTAGGGGGAGAAGAAAGCAAAAGAAGCCCAGTCTTGGATATCTGTACTGGAAAAGAAGCCGTGTCTGACCTCATTAAGGGGCACCCTCTTTTATGTTTTTGCTTACTTTTGGACCTGGCAAGAGTTTGTCTTGCCTTTTTTTTTTATCAATTTATGTCTTCTTTTCCAGTACAGATCTCCAGGTCAGATTGTATTAGAGCCATTTCCAAATCAAATTACTATTTCCAGGTAAGAGTGGTTCACCAAATCAATTGCTGAATGGTAAGTCAACGTTGCTGTAAATATTATTGATTCAACAAATCTACGATAGTTGTGATTAGTAACTGTGTTTAGGTCATGATTAAAGAGTTAGTTTCCTGAATGTAATTTTGATTATGTGTTAAACGTTCTGCGTTTTAATTTCATTAGTTAGTTCTATTATTATGTAATTTTTTAATCTCTACTGTGTATTTTTCTGCAACATCTATATTCACTGTCCCATTAACCTTTCGTAAAAAAAAATATTATATAGACCTTGGGTTGTTGTAGGTTTTTCCGGACTATATGGCCATGTTCTGGAGGCAATTTTTCTCCTGACGTTTCGCCTGCATCTGTGGCAAGCATCCTCAGAGGTAATGAGGTCTGTTGGAACTAGGAAAAATGGGTTTATATATCTATAAAACCCATATAAACCCATTTTTCCTAGTTCCAACAGACCTCATTACCTCTGAGGATGCTTGCCACAGATGCAGGCGAAACGTCAGGAGTAAAATTGCCTCCAGAACATGGCCATATAGCCCAGAAAAACCTACAACAACCCATGGATTCCGGCCATGAAAGCCTTCGACAATATATAGACCTTATTTCTAATTTACAAGTCTTAATGTAGTTAGTTAGCACTAGCCACATTGCAGACAATATAGACTTCTAGACCTCTCAGCAGTCTTCGATATCATCAACCATAGTATCCTTCTGGAATGCCTGGAGGGGCTGGGAAATGGAGGCACTTTGCTACAGTGGTTCTGGTCATACATCTCAGGCAGGTTCCAGATGTTGGTGCTTGGGGATAGCTGCTTCTCAAAAAAAGGAGCTGTTATGTGGTGCCATAGCACAAGGAGCCATTCCATCCTCGGTGCTTTTAAATATTTATATGAAGCCGCTGGACGAGATCATCCATAGGCATGGGGCAGGGTGTTATCAGTATGCTGATGACTCCCAAATATATTTCTCCATGCCTTTAAAAACAGCTTCAGCTAAGGATAGCATGTCTTCTCTGAATGGATGCCTGGAGGAGGTAATGGGCTGGATGAGGAAAAACAAATTGAACCTGAATCCAGACAAAACAGGTGCTTGCCACCAAGGATCCTAATATGGGGATGGAGGTGTGTCAGCCAGTTCTGGATGGGGTTACACTCCCCCTGAAAGACTGTGTTCACAGCTCAGGAGTGCTTGTGGATCTTGTGCCTTGGATTTGCATTCATGTTGATATTCCTGTAATTTTTCATACCTTGGATTTAATGCTCAAGTTTTGTTCCTGTATTTTCATGTGTCTTGGTTTTGCTGTCCTAGATTATTTTGGAATCACAGACTCTTGTTACCTTTGGATCTTGTCATGGTTTTGGGGCATTCCTATTTCCTGAACTTGATGTTTGGATTCTTATTTTCCATGTTTAAGTGACTCTTATTATGGATAATACTCTATAGTACTTTTGATCATTTTTTATCCTTTTGCGGAAGTTATTTTTATTCTTCAATAAACTGCTTTACTTAGACCGAACTCCGGTATGTGAGATTGGTTCAGAGGTCCCTTTTCAGCCCTGGTATGCAACACTTTTTACCAAGTTCAGAAACTCCAGTTGGTTCAAAATACGGCAGCTAGACTGGTTATAGGAACATCTAGGAGTGAGCATATTACACCTATCCTAAAGTCAATCCACTGGCTGCCAATTAAGTTCTGGGCAAAGTACAAGGTGTTGGTATTGACCTTTAAAACCCTACATGGTTTGGGTCCAGATTACCTGAAGTATCGCCTTCTCCCATACAATCCCCTCTGAACACTGAGGTCTTCTGGGGAGACCTCAGTGTCAGAACCTGACTGGCAACCACCACGCAGAGGGCCTTTTTAATCAGCCGCCCCAAAACTGTGGAACAACTTGCCAGCAGAGCTCCGACAGCTAGATCAGCTGTCAAAATTAATTAATTAATTAATTAATTAATTACTACATTTATATACCACCCCTCTCAGCCCAAGGGCGACTCGGAGAGGTTAACAATAGGCAACAATTCAATGCCGGTGCAGTTACAACAAATTAAGACAATCATAGATACTTTAAAATACTAACAGCAATATAAAACATAAAAATCGTACACAGCATTTAAGAACATTGTCAAAGCGTCTCCATCTCAATTAGTTGTCTGGTTGCATTGTCAGTTGTCCATAATATCATATATATATGCCATATTTGGGAAGGCCTGTTCAAAAAGCCAGGTTTTCACCATTCTTCGTAAGGACAGGAGGGAGGGGGCTGTTCTTATCTCTCTAGGCAGGGCATTCCATAGTCGAGGGGCCACCGCGGAGAAGGCCCTGTCTCTCGTCCCCACCAAACGCATCTGTGAGGAAGGCAAGAGCGAGAGCAGGGTCTCCCCAGAAGATCTTAGCATTCTGGATGGTTCGTAAGGAGAGATATGTTCGGATAGGTAAGTTGGACCGAAACCATTTAGGGCTTTATAGGCTAAAGCCAGCACTTTGAATTGTGCCTGGAAGCAGATTGGCAGCCAGTAGAGCTTGCGCAACAAAGGAGTTGTATGCTCCCTGAGCACTGCTCCTGTTATCAACCTGGCTGCCGCCCGTTGGACCATTTGAAGCTTCCGAGCAGTCTTCAAAGGCAGCCCCACGTAGAGAGCGTTGCAGTAATCTATACAGGATGTAACCAGAGCATGGACTACCGTGGCCAAGGTACATGTGAAGACCTATCTCTTCCAGCAGACCTACCAAGACAGTTTTAATGATGAATTTTAAACTTCCACTCTAACTTTTGTTTCGTGTATCATACGGAAATGTGTTTTAATATGTATATTCTATGGAGTGTTTTTAAATGATTTTGTGTTTTAGAAGTTTTGTAACCCACCTCAAGCCATGAGGAAAGGTAGGTAAGAAATAAAGTTGTTGTTGTTGTTGTTATTTTTATTATTCCTGTTGTGTATCTCTGGATCATTTCCAGATCTTCCACATGCTTTATTGGTTGAGGAGAAAAGAGGCCTCTTCTGTTGTTGTCACATGAACTTGCCAATTCATTGACATATTGTACATATTGTCTCAGTCATGGGGGAAGCTGTCAGATTTTATTATTTTCATTAGAAAGACAGAGGAAAAAATGTATGTCTCTAAACCAGGAATGGTGAACCTAGCCCTTGAAATGCTTTGTACAGTTTCCACAATATTCTACCATTGGCTGTGCTGAATGGAGGCCGATGGGTATTATAGAACAAAAAAGTCAGAGCAATAAGGACTGCCCTGTAATGCCTCAACTAATCCATCCAACTCAGCTGTTTTACAAAGAAGGCCAGCAATAACATATTACAGCATGTGAAATGATTTTTGTTTCTAGGTTAGAAATGTCATTTCTTAGTTGGTTCTACCATAAAAACATGGGAAAAAGTTTATTAAACTGCAGCACCTTTTGCTATAGTTTTTCAATGAATATTTCATAGAGTCTCAACCAATTCAACATGGTTTGTGGCACCCTCAAAAATGAAGATTATTATTATTATTATTATTATTATTATTATTATTATTATTATCTTTATTTATACCCCGCAAAATCTCCCGAAGGATTCGATGCAGCTTACAAAGGCCAGGGCCACCGACAACACAGCATACAATGCACAATAAACTCATAAGCAAATAATAAAACATCAAGCAAGACAATAAGACAATAAACAATAACATCGTGACACAATTAAAACAAAGGGCCGGGCCAAATGTAATGGACAAAATCAAAAGTGCTGAGCTTGACAAGTAAAATGTGAAGGGTGTTGGAGGTAGGTGCAATGTGCAGATAATCCTGAGTCTCTAACAAGGTGCATTTGGGACCTGAGGCCAGGAGTTTCCTATTCTGGAAAGGCGCACTGGAACAGCCAGGTATTCAGGCTCTTCCTAAAGACAGCCAGCGTTGGGGCTTGTCTATCCTTGGGGAGAGAGTTCCAGAGTCGGGGGGCTACCACAGAGAAGGCCCTGTCCCTCGTCCCCACCAAGCATGCCTGCGACGCAGGTGGGATCGTGAGCAGGGCCTCTCCAGATGATCGGAGGAACGTGCGGGTTTGTAAACGGAGATGCGGTCACGCAGGTAGGCAGGTCCCAAACCATTTAGGGCTTTGTAGGTGAGAACCTGCACCATGAATTGGGACTGGAAAATGAACGGCAGCCAATGGAGCTCCTTGTACAGGAGGGTTGACCTCTCTCTGTACGGAGCACCAGTTAACATCCTGGCCACCACCCGCTGAACTAGCTGAAATTTCCGAGCCGTTTTCAAGGGCAGCCCCACGTAGAGCGCATTACAGTAGTCCAATCTAGAGGTGACCAAGGCATGGACCACCCCGGCCAGATCAGCCTTTATGAGGTAAGGTCACAGTTGGCGTACGAGTCTCAATTGTGCAAAAGCCCTCCCGGACACTGCCGACGCCTGAGCCTCAAGCGTGAGAGATGAATCCAAGAGGACTCCCAAACTGCGGACCTGTGATTTCAGGGGGAGTGTAACCCCATCCAGCACAGGCTGCCACCCTATACCCCGATCCAGTTTTCGATCGACGAGGAGGACCTCTGTCTTGTCGGGATTGATCTTCAGCTTGTTCCTCCTCATCCAGCCAGCCACAGCGGCCAGGCAATTTTCCTGAGTATAACAACTAGGCCTGGGCGGTTTCGTTCGTTAATTTTGTAATTTGTTAAATATTCGTTATTTTTAGCAATTACAAAACGATTACAAAACATATTTTCAAACCCGGAAGTGTTTTTAAATATCGAAACGGCATCCTCCATCTTTTTTACGGGCTTCCGCCCGTTTCGGAAATGACGTTTTAGGAATGGAGGATGCTGGGTGCGCTGGGAGCCAATCCTGCGCTCCCAAGCACTGTGGCTGATTGTGATTGGGTGGGCTGCCCTTTAAAAGCGGCTCCGCGTGGCCGCATTGCTCATTGCTGGTGAAGGCGAGGAGACGGGAGGTTCGGGAGGGAGGCTTGGCTTGCTTGCATTCATTCATTGCTTGCATTCATTCATTCCCTGGGCTGGGAGCAGCGGGGAGGCTTTGCCGTTCGCTCCACAACAGGGCAAGCATTTTTAAATATTTCTGAAAAATATATCTTTCTTTTATTCTTAAAAAAATTCAAAAAATATTCTAAAAAAAGAAAAGACCCTTGTGTGCCTGTGTGTGTGAGTTTGTCCCTGTCCTGTGGCTGTGTTCGCTCCACAACAGGGCAAGCATTTTGTTAATTTTCCATTTTTAAATATTTCTGAAAAATATCTTTCTTTTATTCTTAAAAAAATTCAAAAAATATTCTTAAAAAAGAAAAGACCCTTGTGTGCCTGTGTGTGTGAGTTTGTCCCTGTCCTGTGGCTGTGTTCGCTCCACAACAGGGCAAGCATTGTTAATTTTCCATTTTTAAATATTTCTGATAAATATTTCTTTTTCAACGAATCGATTCGTTGCCA